CTTTGGCTGTTGTACAAGATGAAACTTTTACGCATTCATATGGTCTAAGAGCACAAAATATAATATGGATGACTTTGGAGTTGAGTTGGAACATTTTTGTCTATCCTTCACTCCATAATCTTGGATGAGTGAGAGGCTTGAAGTATCATTCTTCTACGACATTCCATGCTCCCATGTCACTTGCTTTAATGAAGTACATCATTCTATTTTTCCAATAGGAATAGTTAGCCCCATTGAAGAAAGGAGGCTTGTTGACGGGCATCGAATCGAGACCGGAGTTGAAGTTTAAAATAGTGGCCATTGATGACTTTGATTATCGATGTAACTCTTCCCGAATCGACTCAAGAGGCGATTAAACCTTCAAATGAGTTATGCTCTGATACCAATTGTTGAGTTAATCGATTGACGAATATGGCCAAGAGGGGGTGAATTGGTAATTAAAATTTTGGTGGAAGCTTTTGCAGAAAATTGAAAGAAATTTGCACAACGATTTAGAGTGGTTCGACTTTCTCAACCAAAGTCTACGTCCACTACCTTAGCTATCCACAGTAAGGATTTTCCACAAATTCACTAATTTGTCTTTCTTTTGAGGACAAAGAGTAACCTTACAAACCCTCAAGAATTATACCCCAAATTCTTGAGAACACTCTCTCCCAAAGAGAACAATACAAATTTGTAAACTTACAAGGAAATCCTCACAAGGTAGTTTGTTTGCACAATTCTAGAACAAAGAAAAGAACACTCAAGAATGAATACAATTGAGCACAATAAGTGTTCTTGAAAGCAAAATGAATATTGAATGAAAAATAGGCTTGAAATGCTCAAACTTGAGGTTTGATGCTTTCTCTTTGATTCTCTCTTGATTCTAGTTGCTTGATGTTTCTTGTTATTGATCAATGGCTTCTAAGCTTGCTTAAATACACCTTGAATCACTTCTGAATGTTGGGGATCATTAATGAAGTTTTTGGAGCCGTTTAAGTGTGAAAACAATTAATATTTCTGCTTGAAGCGTGGGGGGAATCGATACCCCTAATGGGGAATTGGTTCCCTAAGTGTAAAATTCAAATATTTCGACCATTGAAAAGTGGGGGGAATCAGTTCCCTCTGAGCATACTGGAATTCTCGGAGCCAAACCATTCAGGGGGGAATCAGTACCCCCTTGGGGGGAATCGGTTCCCTCTGAGCAATCTGGAATTTTTGGCTTTAAAATGGTTCGAAATATTTTGTAAAATCGTTTTGAAATTATTTTAAGATTAAAACTTAATTTTACACTTGAGTAAGGATTTAAAATGAACTTTGAAATACTTTGAGTAATATTTTGATATTCGATTTAATATATCGAATATGCTTAGAAAAATCATTTTCAAAATTAAAATTCTTTTAATTTGTTATATCGAAACATCAAAATGTTTTCAACACAAGGCCACCTCGGTCTTTAGTTGCTCGATCTCATTCTTTAGGTTTTCAACCTCGGTTCCAGAACCTTGGTTTTTAAGTTCTTCGACCTCTTGTGTTAAGGCCATGATTTGGGCTTCCAAAGCATCATCTTGTTGGGAACTCTTCGCATCTAATATGTTGAGTGCAGTCTGCATATCCTCATGGATATTCTCCAAGGCGTCAAGCTTCTCGAGATCCAGGGACCCTAGCTTTTCTAGGTAGATGGATTACAATCGATCCAACACCTACTTAGCTTCCATCGCGGAGTCTTCAAGTTTGGTGATCTTACCTTGGAGCGATGCGAGCATGTCATTTGACATTCCTCGGTTCTTCTCCTCGTTGCGAGACTCAACGCCCTCGGATGTTGCTGCCTCACCACGTTGTGAAGTCATCTCGTCTAATCACGAACCTGGCTCTGATATCACTTGACACCGGGCTAGACTGTTGACTAGCTGATCCGTGCAACCCTTAGATGTCTCGCTTGGTTGCTCGACGTCTAAGTCAGTCTAAACTCCTCGGTTATTGTTGCTATAGTGATAAGAACGATGGAAAAGCATTGAAAAAACGTAAGTAAGCATGTGTGGGAAAGTTTTTGGCCTAAATGTCTGATTTTATTCACACCAAATTCTATATATCCAATGGAGGTGAGGAGACATCCTTTTATAATTAAGCCCCCCTTACATCTCATGATTACTCCTATTCTAACTATAAGTAAAATTATTTACTTTAGTTAAAACTCTAATACTTAAGTCCTATTCAAACAATAACTATGTTACTTGGCTTTATTTTCCAAGTAATGATCGACATTGCTATGTGGACAGGCCCTAAGTCGGTACTGGCCTCGGCCCTCGTTGCCCCCTCGGTATGCGTAGGCTTCGACCCTATGTGCCCCCGATATATACTGCCCTCACCCCCAAACATCCCCCTTTGTGCATTCATCTCGGTTCTAGGAGCACACCCGGTGTGCCTTGGCCTCGACCCCGAGTGCTTCCCGTTGCTTACTGGCTAGAGTCTTTGGTTGACCTTGTCGTGTGTTGGTCTCATCTCTACGTACACCTTGGTGTGTTGTGGTCACGACCCTAGGCGACTCTTCTTGTTTGATGATCGTACTTGTGGGTAGTTTGGGACGGGCGTGTCTTGACCCTATTCGGCTATGTTTGCGTCTTGGTCTCGGTGTGGCCCTTGTGGGCTGTCTGGGCTACGTCAGTCGCACCCTGATGGATGTTGGTCTCGGCACCACAGCGGGAGCAGCTTGCATTATGCTGGTTGCGGCCCCACGGGTAGTCTGTTGTGGACTGACCTCGGCCACAAGTTCCAGATCCGTGACAACTCCAAACATGGAATATAGGAATACTTCCATTAGGCCACTCTAAAATAAGTTGGCCCATTAGGCAAACCATAATTTTATTTCGAGATCCACGACAAATACTATGGTATAGGGTAAACTTGTCTTATCGATGTAACAAGTTTGTTCAAATAATATTTTTAAATAGAATCAGGTAAGTGGACCCCATGAGGTTTAATATTTTAATATTTTTTGGAACTCATAACGTCGAAATATAATTTTTTTTTGTAAAATTAAGTAACTACTTTCAAAATAACGTAACTCGTAATGTCAACGAGATGATTTCCAATTGAATTTAAAATTAACTAATTGTTTATAATCGTTAGGAAACTGTAGGGTTTTGAAATTTTAGAAAATATAGACATCGAAACTCGTCACATCAACGTGACGATTTTCATTGATTTTTTTTAAAAAATATTTTTAAAATAACTTATTACAAACTAATTTATTATAAATTAATATTTTTTTAAAATAATATCACTAAAAATAAAATAAAAAATTACTTATATTTCCTAAATTCTTATTGATGCCAAAGAGTAGTTGAATAATAATGGTGTGAGGCTCATCGATTTCTTCGTGGTCATCCGCCTTTATCATCTTCATCTTCATTTGCTTATTCTTTAACAAGAGGTGTATTGAACATCACTCCACTTTGATTTCCACCTTTGAGTGACAATGATGGAGTATTTAAGGAATTTGACGTCATCATTGATGTCAATGACTCAAATTGTCCCCAAAATCAAAACATCATTGACCATATAGAATATGATCTCATGAACCTTCATCTCATGAACCTCCAACCTAGTTTCTCTGACATTGCATTAAATCATGATATGGAGGATAAAAACCATAACTTGTTTGAGATGCAAAATATTTAGCAGAAACAGACAAATGCTTCATTCTTTAAGTGTCATTCCCTGTTGACGAATGTTTCATTATTCTTCCTACAATATCAATTTCAACCAAGCAATCAAATTTTCAAAACAACAAAATTAAGAATTTAAACTAAGAATTTTTTTACTGGAGTGAGTTCAAAAGAGGAAATGTGGATAGCATCAAGGTGTAGCATTTCTTATCTGGTTGACATTTTAACAGAATTTCTTCAAAAAAACATTTTTCTCAAGTAATTTTTTCTTAACAATTCACAATAAAATCTCTAAACCTCAAATCCCTATTTATAACCATGAACTTAACGGCTATAAACGACTAGTTGTTTCAAAAGAATCAAAACCACCACGGAACTTATTACTTCGACATGACGAGCTCTAAAGAGACCGTTGTTTTTTACTGTTAATTAAAAATTATTTACTTAATTTAAAAAAATAAAATCATTATTTTAAACAGACTCGCAAGTCAATGTGACGAGTTCTTAGGAAAATATTAAAATATTAGACCCCACGGTTCCTACTCATTTAGGTTGACTTAAAAATATTATTTCGATAAACTCGTCACGTCAACATGATGAGTTTGTTCTACACTGTAACATGTAACATTTGACAAAGATACCAAAATACAATTCATGGTGGCCTAATGGGTCAGTTTATTTTGACGTATGGCCTAATGGGCCGATTTTGCCAAACTAAACGTTGTTCTAACGTCCAAGCCCAACCAAAGAACTATTAAGATTTTATCGAGTTTTGTGGTCGGGGAAGTTATTGTTTATCACGGGTCTTTATGCTATAATTCACAATTATTTTGTTAGTACTTATTATTGGCATAGTCAGATTCTAAGATATGGTTGGAGGTGTAATTCTTATATAATTTTAATATTTTTTAATAATTTAATTTTTGGATAAAGTACACAAATGACCCCTCAACAATTAAAAGTAACAAAATAGTCATTTGATTATTCATATGTTCCAAACTCGTCCTTTTACGTTAAAAAAATTTGGCTATCATTTGAGTTATATATTAACTTATTGATTAAGATATGCTAATCAAATTAATAATTTCAGGCTTGGCTCACGTTTTCATTCTTGGTGTATTGTGATATCCCTGGTGCCGACTACTGCCGAGGTTTGTTGTGGCTGCCTAACTTTAGCTCCGAGGTTTTAACATAGGTTCTTTCACTTAACATTTGTTAATATTATTATTGTTGTTGTTAACTTGAAACTTAGATTCTGCATTAATTTATTGCAATATATATGGCTATTTCAGCTGTAGTACTTATGTTTTGGCGAGATAGCCAGAAAACAGACATTCATTAATGGAGGATCTATATTCATTAAAAACAGATGCATAAGAGGAATCTTTTAGTAATGCATCAGCGCTACGAGATGCTTGATAGGTACACATAAGGAAGCACATGTAGTATAAAACAAGTATAGGATGAAGACACAACTGTGATCACGACGCTAAGATACACATTGAAAACAAAATAATAGCGATTGCTTGCTGCACCGTACTAGCTAGTTGCATTTTCTTTATTAACGGCTCCAGTTATATATGGCTCATATTCCACTTAAAGCCTCAGATTCCACATCCTGCAGGACAACAGATCCAAAATCAGTCTTCTTTTTTGCTATTAACAAAAAGAGTAGGGTTAAGTTAGCCATGTATGTGTACCTTTGTTCGTCATTCATGTAATTGTAAGCTTTGTTCCCTCCGCCTAATTTCTTGTAAGGGGGTAAGGGAACATGGCCAGACTCAATCTGCTTGAGGTCTTCGACAAGATTCTGGTAATGTATCTTCACTTCCTCCACGGTTTTACCTCCGACTGCCCTGGCCAGGTTGTGCCAGCGGTCCGGAGTGTCCTTGTCATACGAAACTAAAGCATTCTCGAACAACTTGTTTTGCTTTGGCGTCCAGCTCGAACCCGAGGCCATTGCAGTTGCACAAGATAAATAACACAAGGGAAAGGAGAAAAAAGTATGGAAGGATTTGTATGAAGACACCATCAAATGATGACTCTTTATAGTGAAGAGAAAAGTGGGGGTTGGAAACTGTGGACCGGTGGGCATTTTTGTCTGATTCTTTGCCGTTGCTTTCCTTGTAAAACAACGGGACCCGTAACAAAATAGGATGTTTTTTTTTTCTTTTTTCGATTAATTATTGTGTTTAAATATATTAATATTTGATTTATCACACTTATAATGGGATGAAAAACATATAATGTAAAATTTATTTACAAGTCCTATGAAATACGAATTCTATCATCAAAAGTGTAATTTTTAATTGTTCTTTTATTTTTCTAGTTTTTACTAAACACGCCTTTGCAAAAAAAGAACCACGAAGGTACCATAACAACAGTCCTGTACACTGATGGCAGTGTGACCAGAAGACACAGGATTCATTAGGGTGGACCAAGCAGTGGCTGTGCTGATAATCTTTAACAATATTCACGGGTGCACCATTTCTAACCGTTCAAATCTTCTCGTCGAGATTGCTGTTCGTCTTCTTCTGTGTGAGATTATTAGTTGTTACTTGGTAAAGCATCCCAAAACTGTTTCACCTGGTTGCCTAGATCTTTCCGTACAATTATTTGTACCTGTTCAATTTAATATTTCTACTGAGAATAAGTCAACGGGTATGCATCACTTTTTACCATGCGTAAAAACTTATAAGCCTGCAGTCTAACAATCTGTCATCTCTCATATCCTAATAACAGTAAAATTATTTAAATCAACATTGCGAGGTTTCCATTCAGATTAGAAGCTCTGGGCAGCACTCAAAGTTTCCATAACTCTAAGGTTTAAAACAAATCGGATACAAATGAAGCTTCCCGTGAAAACCCAAGCAAACTAGTAAAGTACATATACCATATATAGTTAAAATAATGTATTTTTTTCTTTCTTAATATTGAAGAGAAATAGGTTGTTTTGCGAAGTGTAAAGGCGTCTCTTACTTTAGTTTGGACGTCGACAGGAGGAAGGAGACAAGCGAATATGTGCTTGACCACGGCGTTTCCAACTTTTTAGGGAATACTATAAAGAAAGAAGATCCATATCTTGTTGACGATTAGAATCCTTATCATCCATGCATGTCCACACCAAGGGAGAATTTTTTCAGGATAATTTTCATATATCGATCTTAGAAAAACAAAATTCACAAGTAAGATTATATAGATGTTACGTGTGCTTAAAAAATAAGAATACACGATATCAATACAACTTCGTTTATGAAATATTTTATTTCCATATTTGCATGTGGTAATTATCCATTTTTAAATTATTTGACGCATCGCTTTTCTGCATTTTTTAAAGATCTTTTTAAGCTGCAAGTTGGGGTGGGGTGGGTGCTTGGGGCTAGGGAATCCGACTACTTTATTTCAGAAAGGTCACGGTCTTGACCTATCAATATTTTGAAAAAGCATACTAATTTGAAAAGCTGGTCCAGTTTTAACTAAGGTAGGAATTATGCGTTGATATGGTTGTAGCTGAAAAACCAGGGGCTCAGAGTTTGCTCACAAATCAACTGGTTTACGAGGAAATTACAATATGCATGCAATGTCATTATTTCTATAGGTCTGATTGCTCAATACAAAATTAAGTTAAAAAGAAGAATGTTGATTACCAAAGAAATGATGAAGGGAAAACCCGACACCTTGAGCACCTATTATGATATATAAGGCTATCGATATCTTTGAATCCTTATCATCAATGTCATTTCAACGAAAAAGTTATCTCTAGTGATACCATTTTGAGAACTATCAATAGCTTTTAAGGATTTGAATAATTTATTTTCTCTTGTATTCCTTGTTTCAATTTGGAGGTCGCATCAAATTATGGTCTAATTTGAAAGATATGCCTGTTGGATATATCAGACGAGGATCCCTGAATATGCTATCTGTGTTATTTTTCAAAAGTTTACCCAAAAGCAAGGAGCCGATAATAAAACTTGAGATGAACAACAATAAAGTTGATTGGTATTTTCAACTTTGTGAATTCCTCCCCCACTTTAGGTTGAGAGATAAGAACGGCAAATTCTTCCAGGCTGTATAAGATGAGATTCTAGTCTTCGATATTCATCTACAGAGTTGAACAATTAGTGAATTGGACCTTGTATGCGACAGTGGCGTGAGATGAGATTCTTGTACCTTTTATGCTTTACTGTTTTCTATGGGATAAGCATTTTACTGCTCAAATGAAACATTTGATTAGCCTATAAATGCTAAGCACCCTTACATTCCTACTGAAACACAATTTCTACACCTCAAACAATTCATGCATTGTGAGTAGCTGAGTGTCATCGCTCTGTAACTGCTGTTGATTTCTGTTTTCTGTCGCACATGGCAAGCGAACCCGTTGAATCCTGAGGGATAAGTCTTATTGTGAAGTATCCTAAATAACAGTATCATGTGTACATCTCATGTTAGTTCCGTACAAGCTCGACCCTGACCATCTACAATAAAAACCATTGTAGGGTGATAAATTATGAACTAAATAAACAAAACCAAATCTAAAAGATTTTTCAATTGATACATTTTGACTAAATTATAATTATAATTGGTAATGAAGTTATATTTTATTGTAATTCTAGTGATTGAAGATTTTATTGTAATTCTTTGTGACCAAGTATTTGGATGTATGAATAAAGATTATGTCTTAACCTTTAGGGTAATGTGAGAGAATTATTTTTTTAGAGATGTAAACCTTTTTGAGATCTATGCAACTTTTGGGGCTTATGTTATATAGATAGTTCTGTAAGAAAATTGGAATAGTGTTTTGGAATATATTGAGTTTTGGTATCTATATCGAGTTTTGAGATACATGTGATATCATATATTTGTACTCTTTGTGTTCTCTATGTTTATAGTGGATTGTTGTTCATCTCGCTTGTAGATGTAGGCAAAGGCGAACCACATTAAATCTCTTCTCATGTGCATGTCTTATTTTTATTGATATCGCTTTGGTTATTTTTTTCATTCACAAATTCCTAACAAGATATTTGTTAAAGTTTAACTAGAATTCAAAGTTGAACAAATTAATTACTATATAAATTTGGGAAAATAAGAAACATAGTTTGGTTAAAAGTAGATAGCTTTATTAAACTAGATTTTTACTTTAATTAGTGTCCTTTGTTATCAAGTATCTACCTATAAATAGATACTAAAGGTAAGGGTTAGATATTAAGTTTTTTCCCTCAAAAATCCTCTTGTACTTTCTTTTTTATATTAGTGAAATTCTTCTTCTCTGCTCGTGGTTTTTTCCTTAGGTTTTCCACGTAAATCTTGGTGTTCTTTGTTTTTCTTTTTAGATCATGTTTATTGATAATCATTCCGATATTATAACAAATTGGTATCATAGCTTCAGATTCAAGATTATGGCAACAATAAAATATGATATTCCATTTTTGGATTGAAGCACCAGGTTCTCGCTATGGTAAGTGAAGATTCGAGATGTCCTTGCACAATTGGACTTAGATGATGCATTGAAAGAGTTTGATAAGAAGACATCATTAGATTGGATGAACAAAGAAAAGCGCAAGGATAAGGATTATAAAGCCCTATCTCATATCCGTTTATATTGATCAAATCAAATCTTGTAGGATGTGTTAAAAGAAATAATGATTGATTCTTTGTGGATGAAATTGGACCAACTATGTATGTAGAAATCATAGACCAGCAAGTTACACTTAAAGCAAGTATTTATTCGCACAAGTTAGTGGAATGATCATCTCTTGAAGAGCACATGACTGCATTCAAGGAAATTGTCTTTGATCTAGAGACTTTAGAAGTGAAGTATGATTAATAAGACTTAGGATTGAACTTCATATGCTCGTTGTCCCCTTCCTAATCATCTTTCAGAGACACAATTTTGTACAATCACGAAACACTTACTTTTGAAGAAATGTACAATGGCTTGCACTCATTCGACAAGATGAAGCATCTTGTAAATGGTTCCGAGCCCAGGTAGAGGGTCTCGTGGTACATGGATCGACTAGCTTAGACCGTGGAAGAAAATGCGAGCATTCTTCTAGTAATGAAGGAATGTGCATATCAAAATCTTCCAATAGAAGTAAAACTTGTCACTTTTGTAAAAAAAGTGTCATGTTAAATTGGAGTGTTATAAGTCCATAATAAAATTAAAAGAGAAGCTGAAGAGTAGAACTCTAGAAAATCTGGTGAGACCGGTGCAGTAGAAGAGTGCGTTGATGGAGAACTCCTAGTTGCAACTGACAACAACTTTATAACAAGTGATGAGTGGATACTTCACTCTGGTAGTTGTTTCCATATGAGTCACAATGGTGACTGGTTTGCGACGTATAAAGTTGTATCAACAAGTGATGTATTTTTGGGAAATAATGTCCCTTGTAAGGTTTTGTCATAATTAATATTAAGATGTTCGATGGGATTGATTGAACACTTGGTAATATAAGAAATGTTCTAGATTTGAGTAGGCATCTAATTAGTTAGGTACTCTAGGTTTAAAAGGGTACAAATTCTCCGATGAAGATGGAGCTATGAAACTTTGCAAGGGCTCTCTTGTTGTGATGAAATGTCAGACAAAGACAACCAAATTTTATGTTCTACATGGTTCAACAATTTTAGGTAATGCAACTAATGTTTGCTCCTCTATGCCAAATAATGTTGTTTTTGATAAAAACGTCTTGACTAAATCAAGCAAAGGAATTTTTTTATTGAACAAGAGAATTATGGGTAAAACGGTTATGTGAAGTAGAAAAAAATTCAATTTCATAGGTATAACAAATTTGAAGATAAAATTATCATTGATGTTAGCATCATATTGTGCATGATATTACTCGTGGTGACATATTTGTGAGAAACATTGACACTCATGATAACCATGTCGATGTGAAGACTAAATTCAATCTTAGAAAAAACTTGGATTTGATCAGTGTCCATTATTGAAGATTACCCCTTTTGAGGGGTATTGTGAAAGAGATGGAGAACTTGTTCGTTGAAGTGAAGAATTGTTTTTTGTTGAGTTTGAATTTCTCACATAATTTAGGTGTTTTGGCTTGAAACATTCGCACTTTTAGAATTCACGTCAAGTTGGAGATTTGTTAGAATTTGACTCGAATTCAAAGTGGAACAGATTAATTAATATATAAATTTAGAAAATTAAAAAAAACCTAGTTTGATTAAAAGTGGATAACTTTATTAAAGTAGATTTTCACTTTAATTAGTTTTTTTTGTAATCAAGTATATGTCTCTATAAATAGATACTAAGAGTAAGGTTAGATATTAAGTTTTGTTTTTTACTCCAAAGTCCTCTTATATTTTCTTCCTTCATACTAGTGAAATTCTTCTACTCTGCCTATGGTTTTTTAATTTTGGATTTTCCACGTAAATCTTGGTGCTCTTTGTTTTTCTTTTTCGATCGTGTTTATTTATTTACAGATAATTATTTCGATATCATAACACCAACGTAGGGTGATAAGTTGATAGTGATGATTTTTCCTCGTGAACTCTCGTGAGCTTCCATTAAAATCACGATTGTTTGTATATTACTTACTAGCAGGTCAAAAGGGGAAAATGTCCTATTTAGTGAAGTAAATGTAGGAGTCGAGCATGAACTAAGCTACTTCAATGGTTAAAGGGGTGATTATTATCCCTCTAGATCTTGAGTTCAAGTACCAACAACTATAATGTTTAAGCATTCATTGTCAAATAGTTAAGAGTCTATAGAATAAATACTACTACTTGTAATCACCCTATATTAACCAAAAAAATGTAGGATCCGCAACGAGCTTAAGCCCAATCATCTGGTTGGGTCCGTTGGTTTGGGCAAGTGGAGATTTTAGGAATGTAATTTGGGACATTGGATTGGTTCAAGCCCATCTTGATGCATACCTTCATTAGGTTGCCTGATCTGGCTCTTTGAAGTCAATATCACCAATCTTGATGCATTTACAGATGACCCTGATGTTGGCCCAAGTACCAAAACAAGCAGGGCTTAATTCAGACTCACAAGATGTTCACACACTTGCGGATAATAAAGAAAGTCAAAAGACGAAGTTCTGTTGGATCTGATTTCAAGAAGATACATCGACTCATGCCCCTTCTCTTAATTCTCAGTGTATCGGCCAAATCCCAGTGCTCTTTGTGATATTTCTTTTGGTTTTGGATTTTGTTGCAGAGTACGAACTTTGAGCTAATCATAATCGAACATGGTTTAAAATATCGACTATAAAGCCCTTGATTTAGACGTCATCTTTGCCCATTCACATACTCTAGGGGGTCAGTACGTGTTCCATTTTCCTTTTACTGAAAAAAATATATTGGGGCTTGAGACAAGTTATGCAACGACGGAAAAATTAATTGGTCGCATATATCAGTTTAAAATTTATTTTACAATTTACGATAAATGTTATAGTACAAGATAAATTTATCACGTTGACATGATAAGTTTACTCACATAATATTTTTTATTTAAATTTATCACGTCGACGTGATGAGTTTTAATAAAATATAATATTTTTTATTAGAATTTATCATATTAAAATGAAAAGTTTGAGTAAAAAATATAGGCTTAAATATACAAAAGTGTCCAACGTATGCTTTTGGTTCTAGTTTAGTGCCTAATGTTTATTTCGTTCTAGTTTGGTGTCTAATTTTCATTTCGTAACTCAAATTGGGTCAGAATGTGACAAACCGTTAATTTTGATTGTTAAATGACACGTGTCATAGCATGTTAATTTTAAAAAAATTATTTAAAATTAAAATCATATATATATATATATTAAAAAGAAAATACAAATTTTGAAATAAATCTAAAACTTTGAAAACTTTCATTTCAACCCCTAAACCTACGTCGACCACCATTTTTTCCGTCGACGAAGCTTCACCCTACCTCCCCTCCCCCCGACAACCAAAACCCCTATGAAATCGTGATTGATCGATGGTTGATCGACCATCAAAATCGTGTGGGATCACGATTTTCATCTAGGGTTCGCGGGGTATAAAACATTGATTCGTCATCGATCGGTTACAATTTCGTGGGGGGTTTGGTCGTCGAGGGGAGGGGAGGGGAGGTTGGGTAGAGCTTCATCGATGGCAAAAGACAATGGTCGACATTGGTTTAGGGGTTGAAATGAAGGTTTTCAAAGTTTTGGGTTTATTTCAAAAAATTTGTTTTCTTTTTAAAAGATATATAATTTTAATTTTTTAATTTTAAATAAAATTTTTAAAATTATCAGCTATAACACGTGTCACTTAACGACCAAACTTAATGGTTCGTCACAGTCTGACCCAGTTTGAGTTACGAAATGAAACGTTAAGTACTAAACTGGAACGAAATAAACGTTGACACTAAACTGAAACCAAATACATACATTGAGCACTTTTTGTATATTTAAGCCAAAAGCATATTTTATTCCAAATCACTATAATACATGTCATAAATCCCTAAATAATTCACTTTATACTATATTAGGCTAAATAATTAACCTATTTACTTTTAGGCCAATTTTACCCCTTCGGCACACCATACAAGATTCAATTTGATTTGATCTTCTTAAAGTTCATAATGAAGCAATTGAAATTACCTTACAAGAGTTTGGTAAGTGAAAATCCAATTCAAATGATAGTTTTCGGCCTGTACCTTTGTTATAGTCATATTCTCTGATAAAAATTTCGATTTCAGCCATTTTATTTGTAGAGCTCATGTAAGACATCAAGTGTTACAACTTGATTAAATTTCGAGTTCAAAGTGCAGTTACTATATTTGATTCCAAATATAGAATGCTATTAGTTGAAGAATTGTCTGGTTTCTTTTAGAACCGACCTCTGAAAAAAGACGATCATAATTAAAGGCTTACTAATTTTTATGCAGATTATAAGCAGTTGCCATCGAGAAAACATCATTTTCAATAGATGTCGAGGCCTAATGCAATACACACTTGGATAGTATTAAGCAGCACAATAATTAAGTTAAGCACAACACCAATAAAATTTATCTCGCTTTAAAATGTGAGCCATGCTCCTACTGGGAAATATCCCCATCCGTTCTCGCTTAAACGTAATGTCCTGTCCCCTTTGTCGGACTTCCTCGTATTTTTTCTTTATAATATTATGTCCCACTGTAATCTTAAAAATGGCTAACTTATCATCTTCCGGTCACCTTTTTCGGTAAAAGACGATTGCAGATTACAGTGTATTAAAAGAACTTGTTTAGCATGTGGAATTCAGAAATCCTTTCTAAATAAACCCTTTATATTCTAAGAGTCGGTCGTTCACAATATAGAAGTGTTATTACTTTATTATTCTTTTCATATGTTTTTGAGGTTGAGATGTTATCAAAGATAAACATGACCAAGGGAAAAAATACAGTCAACGAAACTATTACTAACAGTAATCGGAATAGTAAGTAATAGTTTAACAAGAAAAATATGTATAGTAATAGTTGTAACAACTTTAATCTGATTTAATTCATATAATGGCATAAGCATAAAACCTTTCTTTGCTACCTTTAAGCTTTGTTTGTTTATACAGAAAAACATGTGGGATAAAGAAGATGGTTAAGAAAGCCCAATTACTGCGATCAGGGAAAAGAAAAAGCAAGGTCCTTTATGTTATAGCTTTTCTGTGTTTACATTTGAAACAGATGAACTGATAAAGCCACAAATTTGATGAAACCAAGAAGCTTTCATCATGAAAGCTGGAGACTCCATCTTCATCCAACTCAAATAAGTAAAGCCAAACCATTTTAATGTTTCCTTTCTTGGAGCTACAATATAAATGCAGTAAACAAGGAGGGAAATGGATTTACCTGACTTCGTAAAGACAAATTGAAGAAATTTTAGCTGCTCTTTCTGGGTTTGCTTTTTCTTCTTGTTCTACTTGTTGGAGGCTCCTTTAGTGCCACTGATTGTCCCTCTCCTTTCTTCATGCTTCCCATGGAAGTCGATGAAGCCTCTGCTTCTGTCTTTGCCTGTGGCCTTTGCTCTTCTTCTTCTTCTTCATGTTTTGTTTGTTGTTCCTCAGTAGTTTTTAATTCTTTTGAGTGGCTCTCAGTAACTTCAGCTGCTTCCTCTTCTTTAATTTCTTCACTTTCAGTCCTCTCAAAAATCTTTCGTGGTCTACCTCTCTTTCTAAAAGTCTGAGGCTGAGATTGTCGTTGGTGTGCTTCTTCTCCTGCTGATTAAGCCTCGGCTATTGCCACTGAAAGTTGCTTGGTTTTTTTTTTTGGCTTATTACCCATCAATCTTTCCTTGTCAATAAGCTTTCATTCAACCACCTCAAAATAAAAGCATCAAAATCAAATCTTCATTGACTTTTGTTTTACTATCCTTTTTAATGTCTGAAGCTTCTGCTTATTGAATCCAAAAGAGATCGTTCAAAAGATACCCTGGATATGTGTTTTTTATACAACACCCTAAATCAACTAGACCAGTCAGTTTGACCAATATCAAGATTCTTGAAACCCCATTAATACAATCTCCTCCCTTATCGTTTCTTTTCCTCTAATTCTCTCTTATTCTATTTACTATATAATCTACAACCAAATACCAGTAGCTATAGTAATTGCTTCTATTTGCGGAGAATAAACAATAAATCAAATCCCAGAAAGCAATTAAAATTACTTTTCTTTATATGTCAACCTCATCCATCCATCCCTACGTACGAGTATTTATATAAATACACACCAGCTAACCATGGTTAAAACGCTTAGGATTGTTCATCTTTTACCTCTTATAGGAACCGTGCACTTGAATTAAAATTTTGTATCAACTTGTTGAATTAAGTACGCTCAATATGGAACAATACAGAAAATAAAAATAGTATAACACTGACTGGATTTATATTAAAACAAGTACCATTTAGTTAGCAGGTGTGGCTACACGGCCACTTACTGGTTAACTGTATGCATAGGATTGTTCATCTTTTATCTCTTATATAAACCTATTCGTTTGCATGCTTAAATGGGTGGTTGTTTGAAACCAGTGTCTTGTGGTTCTGACTTTTGACGTTTTTACCAAAATAGCACTAATACACTTAATAATTACTTGTAAGACACATTTTATCCTAATATTATCAATCTAACACTCTTTTTGACAAGGAGTGAATCGTCATTCGCGCCTTTGTGGGTTGTGTCCAAATTGACGCGACATCAAGAAAGGCGTGGATCGTCATCTGCGCCTTATCTCTAACTTAAGGTTACGAATGAATGGATATAATATACGGTCTCTCTCCTAATTTAATTAATATTATAGAAATTAAACTATAAACTAATACTAAACAAATTAAATAAATAAAACATTAACGATAATTAAAATTACAACATAATTTAAAATTGTTATCGTATTGGCAAAATACCTCGATATATGATTCTCATCTAAACGTAGCAAACCGCCTTCCATTTTATAACTGCAAAAATTAATAAAAAGTTAATATAATAAAATTTAATAAAAAAATAAATTATTGATTTATTATAATATAATACAAATATTTTACATTTTTAATAGAAAGATTGATACTTGAAAGAATGAAAAAATTTGAGATTTAAGTACAGTTTGGAGGTTGTGTTTGAAAGAAGCGAGGAGGGATAGACAGATTTCCATAAATGCGGGAGGTAGATAGTTGGAGTATTAAAGGATGTCAGAAATTCCGCGAAACCACATATGAATATATGTGCCTTTCTTGACATAATGCCAACTCGAATAAAACGTGGATGATAATCTACGCCTTTCTTAATGTAACCCCAGCTCGGACAGAACCCGATAAAAACGTAGATGACAATTCGCACTTTGTCATAAAAGGCATTAAATTAAAAATATTAAAAGAAATGATATCTGACAAAAAGTAATTATTAGATGTACATGTGATATTTTAATAAAAACGCCCTGACTTTTACGTGGGGATCGGTGAACATGTTGGAGTGAATTATATGTGCTATATGACTCAGAAGTCAGACTCAGTGACTCAATCTGACTACTTCTGTCGCTACACGCCGTGGGGCCCTTCAACTATATACCCCTGGGTGTATAGTTATTTAATGATTTAATCCCCCTGCCCTGACTGGACTTGATCTTTGTGACCAGTAAATTGTAGGCACAAACAATAGTTAATCTATATATGTAATACGATTCTGCAAAACATCAAATATCATCAGCTTACAAGGTCAGATTTCATGCAGTATTTCAGAGACAATTCTTCATGATGTGCAAGGTTAACCAAACTCTAAAATGCAACTATAAGTGTACACTAAGCTTGTTTGACGGCTAACAGAAACACGCCCAAAACTGAATCAAATGGATTACAACACAACTAATATGGTATTTGTTATTGGTGGCGAATCAAAGGGTTCTTCAGTCACTTGGTTGGGGCCATGACTCCAAGAATAGTCTTACAGTCGAGTGGATTAACGAAGGTTCCGTCATTGCGCCGTTCCCATAGTCCCCACAAGCTAGTCGCTTCGAGACAGGTGGTGCAACAAACATAGGCTTGCTGTAGTCCCATGCTCGTACGACACAAGTCAGCAAATTGTCACATAATCCCCCAGCAATCTGCAACAGCAGATATTAAAAGATGAAAAAGAAAATGCTTAAGAGAGTTGCAATTGCATCGAGCAATACAATTGTCTAAGCAACAAATCATCTTCACAAAATATCAAAAGCACATGACAGCAGAAGAAACTAATTTTAAGATACAGGAATGCTTAGCAAAAATTCTAAACTCATCACGAAATGATGCATCAAATAAGTACTTGGATCTTTCTACAGCAACATAAAGCACACCCTAATCACTTGAATTAGGAGACTTCCACTCATTCTCCCAACAGTCTCCAATGCTCTTTGCATTGAATTGAACATATAATGTTCAGAGTCCCTTCAACAGTTAATGCAAGTACAACATAGAGGAGCCAAATAATATTACCTTGCTAAGCATGTTTGCTGACAATGGGGCAATGACCATAATATAGCTCATCGACGAAGCTCTATGTGAAGCACACTGTCACCTATTTTCCCCCAACTAGACCATTCCTCCTCATCAGTGTAAGCTCAAGATCCTTAGGAAGTGATGCTCTGTCAATGAAATGCAAAGAAGCCTTCGTGGCAACTGCTTTAACTTCTACACTTCCACTGGCAGCGAGTAAAATCCTGGGTTTTCTTGGGCAGGGTTAACCTGAACTTTCTCCCTCTCCGCGCCTTGAGGCTCAGGGTATGCCATAACCTAGGCTAAGCTAAGCAACAATAACCTTTGGTCACACCTTTCAAAACCAACTGTCAGTCTTCCTTCTACTTTCACCTACCACTTAATGACAATCCCAGAAAAAGGAAGTACAACCACCACAATAAACCCCAAAATGCACCCCCAAAGCAAAAAAGAACGTTCTGCTAAGGAGAATTTAAAATTGCATTTCCTTGATTTGAAACTCAAAAGCCAATTCAAAATTTCATGATACAGATCAACGAGGCTAGAGAAAGTTCGAGATCCAAAACAAAGTAAGCAGGAGTACGAGAATTTTACTTTGGCATGGCGTAGAAAAAGAGACGCTAACCTGGAAACTAAAATTGGGAGGGAATCTGGGCTTTGATGTTCAGATGTTCTTGCGACTTGCACAATAGGAAAAGAAGCGCGGGATTTGAACTCTCAAAACAGACCCTGTTAGAAAACAAATGGTGCCTTTTGATGATCTGTTGCCGCTTGTATTTTTTGCAGACAAATACTGCGATTTCCCTGGTTGCTCTTTTCTTACAAGACAAATGTGTATTTGGTTTTGGTCTCCTGGTTTCAAGAATTGGGCTTCTCTTGTTAAACCGAAGTTTCTCTTTTGGGTATTGATTTTTATATGTTAAAAGGCTTGTTTATAATGTCCTCAGTATTAGGCCTAATTTGTCTGAGGAGGCTACCTCTCTAACATCTAAATTCTGATGATGATTTCCTGTCACAACAGGCAACGCCCACGTTGACATAGCTTCTGATTACTCCTCAGTCAGCTCGCAAGGACAGGGGCATCTCCAATGCTGCGCTGCATTGGAGATTTTCTCCAAAGTAGAGATGAGAAAGCTGTCCAGCCCTGCGCCACTTTCATCGCTACAGTAAAGTATTGCTACATTACCACAACACATTTAGCGTAATACTGTAGCTTGTGTTAGATTTAATTTTTTTTTTTAAATTTAAAATATATTAAATTATAAAATAGATAAAAATATATTAAAATTAGATAAATAATAATATTAATCTTTTTGTAATTTTTCGGATTTTTTGTATTTTTTTTATATTTGTAAAATTAATATTATAATAGTTAAATATTGTAAATAAAGTAGGATTAGTGATAATGTAGAGATAACGCTGGAGATGAATTATTATTTCATCTCTAGAATAAAAATAGAAATTCGTTAAAATAGAGATGAGGATTAGAAATGAGGATTAGAGATGACCGGCAAGACGTCCCTTTCAAATGGCACCGGCCTCGTAAATAGTAAAAATCTGGACTTGCTAATCGGATAAGGTCATCCATATCATACGCGTATTATATTGCATATGTACCGCAGGTCAGACTGCAGCCAATCTCTCTCGGTATATCCAACGATTAATATAATTCATGAGGGGGGAAAATAGGAATAAGAACAGTCACAAAAAAAAGTCTCTTCACTTTTTTCTTCTCAATTTTCTGATTCTTTGGGATAACCCATTTTGATAATTACTGTAGATGTATATGATAATACACGGGTAGAAGTGTGTTTTACTTTTGGAGTCTTCGCTTAGGTACATATCCACAAATTTTATTTGGAAAATCAAAATCTTTGATCTTAGAGATTGAAAACGATTTGTGAGGTCATTAGCTGGTGGCTAGAAAAGTAGGGGTCTATTTGGATTGATCGAAGACAATTTATACATTTCCGCAAGCTGGGAATTTTTGTGGATGGAAGAATTCGCTGGCATATTATTTTCTACATATGGAAACTCCTCTTTACGCTTGTGGTGCTCTGCTTATGCAAAGGAACTAATATTTTCATTATTTTGGCTGGTTCCGTGACGTGTGTTTCTCGTATTTACTCGATTGCCAAGGTAGTTTTTAGTCTTCAAACTTCCTTTTTCTATGTCATTTTCTCTTGGAAGAATATGATCAGACTCAATAGTATCTCTTCAATTGGATCCTCTTTTTTTACTTTCATTTCTAACTTGGAGATGAGAGAAATCTGATTCCTGGTTTGCTTATCTGTAGGATCCCCTGGGGAAGCTGCTGGTGGGTAC